CTACCTACCTACCTATCCAGCTATCTATCTATCTATCTATCTATCTATCTATCTATTTATCTGACTAACTTTCTATCTATCTATCTATCTATCTATCTATCTATCTATCTATCGATCTATCGATCTGTCCATCTATCTATCCATCCATCCATCCATCCATCCATCCATCCATCCATCCATCGATCCATCTATCTATCTTTCTATCTATCTACCGGTCTATGTGTCTATCTATCTATCTATCTATCTATCTATGTATCTGTCTATTTATCTATCCATCCATCTATCTATCTTTCTACCCCTCTATCCATCTATCTATGTATTTTCTATGTGCCTATCTATCTATCTGTCTATCTATCTATCTATCTATCTATCTGTCTGTCTATCTGTCTATCTGTCTATCTGTCTATCTGTCTAGCTGTCTATCTATCCGTCTATCTGTCTATCTTTGTGCGTATCTGTCTATCGATGTATCTGTCAATCTGTCAATCTATCTATCTATCTATCCATCCATCCATCCATCCATCAATCTAACCATCTATCTACCTTTCTATCCATCTATCCATCTATCTGTATAGTTATCTATGTGTCTATCTAACTATCTACCTGTCTGTCTATCTATCTATCTATCTATCTATCTATCTCTCTATCTATCCGTGTACCAATTGATATATCTATCTATCTATCTATCTATCTATCTATCCGTCTATCTATTTATCTACCTGTCTATCTGTCTGTCTATCTATCTATCTATCTATCTATCTATCTATCTATCTATGTATCTGTCTATCTATCTAGCTGGCTAGCCAGCTATCTATATGTTCACACTATACACTATACAGTATATATTCCACATATATACAGTGCAGTATGTGGCTCCTTACCCCACCCACTCTCCCCCGCCGAAGTGACAGGCCGAGTTGCGGAAGCGACCAGCTATTGATGAGGCACGTTGTCTGCCTTGTTTTCTCAGGTAGCCATAGTTCGTCATAGCAGAACAGATGAACAAGCATATGCCTTTTCACCTTCTTTTTATTCCGAGCAGCAATGAGATGAAAGGAGATTGCAATCCTGCGCTTCAGCATTGCAGCCTCTAGACCTTCTACCTGCTAGTTGCTGTTGGCTCCATCTAGACTTCCATGACACCTACAGCAAACCCTCAAAGGACGAAAGTACGTGTGTAAGTCTACCTGTAGAACTACTTGCACGATATTCTGACGACTTGTCCATGAGCAGGGCACGAGTTTGAAGCTGGTTGAGCTTGGACAGGGCTGACCTGGCTTTAGGTCGGGCGGATTGAAAGGCAGTTTGTACTTCCGCACATACCATATCGGAAATCAATGTCCTGATGCTGTCCACTAGACCAAGCGCCTGCAGGACTTGCCGACATGAACAGATCTCCAACCTTCCGGAGCTTCTTCAAGCTGCGTTGGCGCCCGTGGCAGGCATGTGTGGCTTTGCCGAAGGGTGTCGTGTCGTGCAGCGCTGGTTCTACAACATTCGAGCAGCTGGGTGGTGCATATGGACCTGGAGCACAAACCTTTGAAATGGCAGATTTTGGATTCAGACACAACCATCTACATGCCTACCCCTGCCAGGATCTCGGGGCGCCGGCGTCGTGGAGAGCTCAATCTGCCCAGCCAAGCTGACCCGCGAGCCCCGCGCAAGCGCCGGGTTGCAGTGCGCGCAGATGCCAGGAACTTGGAGGAGGGGATAAGGGCTCGGTGCCCACCTCCTCAGAAAGCGCTCGGAAGATGCAGAAAGGCCTTTGGCTCGTGGGACCTTGAGCACCTTGCAGGGCTCTGCAGGGGATCCAAGAAGGCATGCCGCCATGCAAAGCTTCATGCGGCGGTACTGCTTGGAAAAATGACCTTGTGCACGGCTCTGTGGTGCTCTTGATTCCTATTCATTCTGCAAGGAGGCAGCATTCTGAGCTGTGCATGTTGCATGAAGCCGCCGGGATGTTTCCCTTCTGCATAATGAGCCGATGATAAATGTGACTTGCTCAATACTGCAATATTGACGACCTTGCAGCCTCCGTTAAACCATGCTCCATCTGAACTCTGATGTAGTTTTAACTTGTCATTTACCCTTGTATCTGCCGTCCGCTTGTCATTGCCTCCGTGACGCTTTACCGCCAAGTGGAAATCTTACCAAGAAGTGGCTTAGATCTGACTGACCCCGGAAGACCATGTGCAAGCCAACCTCATTATACAGTCTGTTTCTCCGTCCAGATGTTTGGCTTCGCTTGTAACGCCGAGGCTATCAGCTTCTTTGGCTCAAGTCAGCATCAGATTCGCATCCAGCCAGACATGTGACGAGGTTCCCGAGCTGTTTCCTGAATCCGTCGTTGGCTGCACGTGGGGATTTCGAGGAGAGGGTTGGGAGAAGGAGACCAGCTTCTGGTCCACCTGTTCGACACATCCGTCGGCCACAGAGTAGCGACAATTTTCCATGTTATGGTCTGACTGTAGGCGGTTCTTGCTGAACCTACACTTTCAGGTTGAGCTTGAATAAGGGGTGCCACGGGCTTGTTTTTTCATGGGCCTTTTCATTGCAATGGTATTCCTTCATTTTAAAGGACACAAGGCTGTTTGTTGGGGTGTGCCTGTTCATCACCATCTGGTTCTGTTCGCTGTAAAAGCCGAAGCAAGGCGTGTTGTACGAAGTGTGCAATGTGATTCTCGGGTGGTCCTTACCGCCTCAACACTATATGCTCCGTGCCAAATCCGAGTCCCAAGCTCTTGCAGCTTTCACTTGATCCTCAGCCCCCTGTCCAGAATCTGAAGCCATCATCACACTCCAATCTCAAAGTTGTACCCCGCTCCCCAGCCCAAAGCCTCAAGCCTCGCCTTCAACGCAAAAGTCGGAAGTGTGGGATGGTGGAAGCCCGGTGATGTCTCCTCAGCCAACCGGCTCAAAAGGGAAACACCCATCCCTGTCCGGAAGCGTACCGACCTTCGGCACGACTTCTTGTTGGGGTTTAGGGTCTAACTTCAGCTCAGGGTTTTAGATTAGGATTCTGGGAGGGTGGAGAGTTCAGTGGTTGGTGCCGGCTTCAGAGTTGCAGAAGCCATGTCCACGCTGGCATTCAGGTGGTGCTAAACTCAAACTGCCTGACATCCAAGCTGCACACACCCCAGGACATCGGGATTCTGCATTCGACACCTCATGCTCCCACCTTACACCCAAAACCCGACTTCCTCCAAAGCCCCGGCACCTCTCAATCTCACCACCGTAGCTTAGGAACCCTTTCGTATCGAACGTCGCTCTTCATCTATCTCCATATGCAGGCCTGCGAGCTTGGATACGCATGCAGTTCTCAGAATCAGGGTTTCGAGACTTGGACTGTGACAGGTCTGAACAGGCAGGGAACAACCACCGATTCCATGGAAACAAAGGAGTTTGGGGATTTTGGCACCAGGCTTCAACAAGGACTTTTTCGGGGCTTTTGTCGGGGGCGTGCTCTGCAAGGCCCATTAGGCTCCAGATTTTGCCACGCTGCCCGCAAGTGCAACGGCCAGTTCGCATGCTTACATGCGAAATCCCGCCAAATATTGTGTCTTTGTTTGGCAGGCCGTGTACTTGAAGGGGTAGCTTGTTAACGCCATGAGCCACGTTGCTCGCGCTATTTGTTGGTTAGCTGTGCCTATCGCATCCAGCATCACATTCCTGCCTGATGTAGAACATGGATGTGATTTCTTCTGCAAGCCTTGTAGGCATACCGCCTGTAGCAACTGCTTAGTCATGGTGATGCTTTTGCTGCCCCAGCTGGGCCGGACACTGCTCACGGTGTATCATTCAAGAGAGTAGAGCTTGGATGCAAACCCCTAAGATACCGGCCCATAGATCCCAAACCTTCACGTCTCTCCTTCAAAAACAGCAGTTCTATTGCTTTCTCTGGCACAGGCCGTGGTCATGCGACTTCTGTCCATACTGGCCCTGTGTTCTTGCGCAGAGGCCTTCCAGCGATCAAGGTGCGACAGCATGGTTCCCCCCCCCCCCTCCCCCGCGGTCTGTTGTTAACTTCCAAACCAAAAAGCCCAGACCGGAAATGTCTGTTCGTCTGTCTGTCTGTCTG